TTAGATTCTGTGTCTCCCTCTCTCTCTGCCCCACCCCTGCTTGCACTCTGTCTCTCTTTGTCTCTCAAAAATGAATAAACATTAAAAATAATAATAAAAGAAAAAAAATAAATTAAATTAAAAAACTAACTCATTAAAATTCAGTTCTTCAGGCACAGTAGCCATACTTCAAGTGCTCAGCAGCCACGTGTGAATAGTGGCTATCAAAGTCATACACAAATAAAGAATATCCCTTTATTACAAAAAAGTACTGTTGGAGGTGCTGGAAGAGTTGAATAACAAAATAAACAGAGTAAACATGATCAATTCTAGAGCTGAAATGGACCTAAAAGAACACCTTCATTTAAGAAATGGGAAATGGGGCACCTGGGTGGCTCAGTTGGCTAAGCGTCAGACTCTTGATTTCATTTCAGGTCATGATCTCGCAGTTCATGAGTTCAAGCCCCATATCGGACTCTGTGCTCACAATGTCAAACCTGCTTGGGATCATCTCTTTCTCTCTCTGTCTGCCTCTCCCTCGCTCTCTCTCTCTCCCTCTCTCAAAAGATAAAAAATAAACTTAAAAAAAAAAGGGAAAAGTTAGACATAAAGTTTGAGTAGATTGCCAGAGGTCACATATGGCACACTGGTGAGTCAAAATCAGAACTGCAGTATCAAAATTACTTGTTAATTAATTACAAATACACACAAATCAGGGTATATTTTTTATCATTTCAGTCAGTAAAGAGAGTTTTCTATAAAAACCAAAATTTTGTTTATTAATATTACTTTTGGAATTCAAATATAAAAATTATAGGACCTCATATTTCAAGATGGATGATGATGCATATGTTTGTATACTTTCCCAAGACTTACCAGATGTCAAAAAACATGTTTTATATATATTTATACATACATATTTATATATTTACCTATATATGAAAAAACATATTAACAATACCACAAAGCAAGCAAAGAGGCCAAACACAGACCACAAATTGAAGAAATAATAAATACTAACTTTACAGAAAGAAAACATAATAGAATTGACAAAGCAGTGATAGGAGACATAAAAAAGTAATTCCTTTAAACATTCCATTTGGAACACTGTCCAGCCTCTCCTACCTTACCCACAAGAGTACAATTTGTTTAAATGTTCCAATTTGTTGTTGAAAGTCCTCCATATCCCAAATAATTGTGTAGCTTCCTAGCCTACCTGAAAATTTTTTTTTCTTTAAAAAACTTTTTTTGGGGTGCCTGGGTGGCTCAGTCAGTTGAGCGTCCGACTTCGGCTCAGGTCATGATCTCGCAGTCTGTGGGTTCGAGCCCCGCGTCAGGCTCTGTGCTGACAGCTCAGAGCCTGAAGCCTGTTTCAGATTCTGTGTCTCCCTCTTTCTCTGACCCTCCCCTGTTCATGCTCTCTGTCTCAAAAAAAATAAATGTTAAAAAAAATTTTTTTTAACTTTTTTTTGGTAGCAGCTTTATTAATTCACTCATTTGAAGTCTACAATCCAATCATTTTAAATATATCCATAATTGTGCAACCATCACCACTATCAAGAATATATCCATTAACTCATAAAGAAACACCCAAACCTTTAGTTACCAAAACCGAATATCCCCATCATCCTTCCCCACCCTAAATAACTGCTATTCCACTTTCTATGTCTGTATTTTTGTCTATTCTAGCCATTTCATATAAATGGAATCATATAATATGTGAATGATTTTGTTGACTGGATTCTTTCACTTAGAATAATGTTATCAGTGTTCATACATGCTGCAGCATCTATTAGTACTTTACTCCTTTTTTTAGCTGAGTAACATTGTGTTATATGGATATACCACATTTTGTTTATCCATTCATCCATCCCAGATACTTAGATTGCTTTCATCTTTTGATTTGTTATGGATAATACCATAATAAACATTCACATACAAGGTTTTGTGTTGACATAATATTTTCATTTCTCTTGGGCTATGCCTAGGAGTGGAACTACTGGGTCAGTTTAACTTT